TGTACCGAATCCCAGAATCAGTGCGGGTATGCGAAAGGAGATCCAAAAGATGCTCCAACTAGGGGTGATTGAGCCCTCTGACAGACCCTGGGCCTCCCCAGTAGTCCTAGTACCGAAGCGGGACAGTACGACCCGGTACTGCGTGGACTACCGGAGGTTAAATGACAAGACTGTGTCAGGTGCCTAGGATAGATGAGCTCTTAGACTGGATGGTTAGGGGCCAATACTTCAATACAATTGATCTAGCCCCAGAAGCCATCCCTAAGTCAGCGTTTGTCACCCCATTCGGCCTGTACCAATTTAAGGTCATGGCATTTGGGATGAAAAACGCTCCAGCTACTTTTCAGCGGATGGTGGACCGGCTCCCAGATGGGTTCCAGGGCTATGTCTGCACGTATCTTGATGATATCGCTATTTTCATTGATACCTGGCCCATATAGGAGCGGTCCTAGATAGGATTAGGGAAGTGGGCTTAACCCTTAAGCCTAGCAAGTGCCATATAGGCATGGCTGAGGTACAGTACCTCAGTCATCCAGTGGAGTGCGGGCAACAGAAGCCCAAACACGCTAAGATTAAGCCAGTGGCCAACGCCCTGGACAAAGACGCAGGTGTTAGCTTTTCTGGGGATGGCAGGGTACTATAAGAAGTTTGTACCCACTTATAGTGCCCTGGGCAAACACCTTACCGACCTTAATGGTAAGAACTTTCCCCATCAAGTAGTCTGGGCCCCGGAGTGTTAGCAGGCATTCCAACAGTTGAAACAAGCACTTGTAAATGCCCCTGTCTTGGCTGCCCCCAATCCAACTAAACGCTTTCTCATCCACACAGATGCTTCTGTGTTTGGATTGGGAGCAGTACTGAACAAAGTTGGGCCCGTTGGCGGAGAACATCCCGTGGCTTACATCAGTCACAACCTCAAGAAGTAAGCTACACCGCCATCGAGAAGGAATGCCTGGCCGTGGTGTGGACCCTGAAAAAAGTTGCAACCCTATTTGTACGGACAGCCCCTCTCTTTGCTCACGGATCACAACCCGTTAGTCTGGCTGAACCAGGTGGCGGGGGACAACGCCAGGCTGCTTCACTGGAGTTTGGTGCTTCAGCCTTTTGACTTTACCATCCACCAGCGCACCGGGAAACAAAATGGTAATGCTGATGTGTTGTCCAGACAGACCCAACTTGAAAAATGATCCCTGAGCACCCCCGGACATCCCCAAGCTGATCCGGTGAGGATCAGACTTTGTATGCCAGCTTGTGGTTAAGGGAGAGCAGTGTAGCGAAATGGACATCTGCAAGTTACTCCTTATTCCTTATATTGGCTGTCTGTATTTCCCCCCTGTTATTTAGTGTATTTTGCCCTATTTATTTTGTGTGGTTCTTCTTTGGCCATTTGGGAGACTTCATATGAATGGAGTCCATTCGTTTCCCGAACAAGGTCCACCCCTGTGCCCCTTTAGAATGTTAACACCAACCACTTAAGTGCGAAACCGCAAGGGAAACGATAAATGAGTGCTGTTCCTGGGTGGCCGCCATTTTGTATAGCTGAACATGTGGCTGAGAGAATGGCGGCCATCTTGTCTTCCGAATGAGGGCAGCGGTACTTGGTCATCGAGCGCCTGGAACAATTTTCGGCTAGGCACTCTCGTGAACACCGGTAAATTGTTGACCACTGCCCATTTCTTTTCCCGACCACCTACACGAATGGCGTTCGGGAGATATAAACTACCGAATAGGGGGAGCATTCGTACCCTGAATGTGAGAGATTCCCTTGTATGGTTTTTGCACGGGAGCCCCATGAATGGAGACCGGCCAAGACACATATTTCCCTGGAACTATTGTGGGCTAGCGTCTTGTGTCTGGCCTGTCAAAACTTTTGTGGGTTTTTTGTGCCTGGGAAATAATTGAATTAGAGGAGTTTACTCAATTATTTCTCAGGCACAAGGGATCCTGGGATTGAAACCCTTGCATTTTCTGCCTGTGAGACCCCTTTCATGGGAGATGACATAAAAGCAGTGTATGTGGAAATAAAAATCAGACCCCCCAGAACTAAGTGTTGTCCATTTACTGGGGATGAGGTAGGAGATTCCTGTATTACTTTGCTGTGCCTTGGATTGTTTCATTTGTTCCTGACTGTAGTTTGGAGTACCAGCGGAGAAGAATGCCTGCTAAGACTAGGGCTCCGCTACAGTGCTCTCCCCTGCCCCCCTGTCCCTTTGTGCTGCCCCTCTCCTTCCCATTGTGCTCTCCCCCTTGCCCATCTTTCCCTCTTTTTTAGGTGTCTCTCCCCCCTTCATCTTTCCCTTGGTGGCTCTCCTCCCCCCCCAGTGTCCCTTAGTGGTCTCTCCTCCTCTCCCTCACCCCCAGTGTCACTTAGTGGCCTCTCCTCCTCCCCCAGTGTCCCTTTGTAGTCTCTCCTCCTCACCCTCCCTCCAGTGTCCCTCAGTGGTCTCCCCCAGTGTCTCTTAGTGGTCTCTCTTCCACTCCCTCCCCCCACCTCAGTGTCTCTTAGTGGTCTCCCAGTGTCACTTAGTGGTCTCTCCTCCCTCCCCAGTGTCCCTTTGTAGTCTCACCTCCTCATCCTCCCCTCCAGTGTCCCTCAGTGGTCTCTCTCCCCAGTGTCTCTTAGTGGTCTCTCTTCCACTCCTCCTCCCACCTCAGTGTCTCTTAGTGGTCTCCCCTCCCCCAGTGTCCCTTAGTAGTCTCTCCTCCTCTCCCCAGTGTCACTTAGTAGTCTCTCCTCCTCTCCCCAGTGTCCCTTAGTAGTCTCTCCTCTTCTTCCTCCCAGTGTCCCTTAATGGTCTGTCCTCCCCCCACAGTGTCCTCCATTGTTCCTAGGTGGTCTCTCCTCCTCTCCCTCCCCCCCTCCCCCAGTGTCCCTTAGCATGGCCTGGCATGCTAACAGCTTCTGTTTCCAGACAGAGACACAGATAAACGGTTAGATGAATTATGCATTTCATTCTTTTTTTACTTTTATTCATGTTACTTGTTTTGTAACTGCTGAATGTTGGTCACCTTATTGGTAATGGCTTGGGGATACATGGATATGGTGGCTTAACCTGGGTCTTCTTGCCGTAGATTTACCTCTCGGAGGTCATCATTAGTGATGGCCAGTTCTATGAGAAGTATTGCCTTCCGCTATGTGCTGAAGTACAAAGAGCTGATTGACAGCTGGGCAGATGCAACAGGATATTTATAAAACGCATTAATTCTCTTGAAATCGGCAGTTGTATAAAATAAGAAAGAGAGAACACTATGTTAACCCCTAAGTAACTTTTGGCAAGTTAAAGGGACACTATAGTCACCAGAACAACTACAGCTTATTGCATTTGTTCTGGTTAGTAGATCATTACCTTCAGGCTTTTTGCTGTAAACATTTACATTACAGCCTAGTGATAACTTCACCGGCCACTCATCAGATGGCTGTTAGAGATCCTTCCTGGATCATAGCTGCCTAAAATGGATCCAAACATTCAGTATCTCCTCCCTCTGCATGCAGACACTGAACTTTCCTCATAGAGGTTCATTGATTCAATTCATCTCTACGAGGAGATGCTGATTGGCCAGGACTGTGTTTGAATTGTGCTGGCTCTGCCCCTGATCTGCCTCCTTGTCAATCTCAGCCAATCCTATGGGGAAGCATTGTGATTGGATCAGGCCACCACTTCTGATGATGTCAGCAGACTGCTTGTTTTTCTGAGGCAAACCGCATGGAGAGTTACAGCCTTAAGCTTGAATACAGATAAGATTTTGCTATATTCATGGAGGCATGAGGGGCCCAGGGGTGGCTGGATGGTGGTTTTAACACTATAGGGTCAGGAATACAAGTTTGTGTTCCTGACCCTATAGTGATCCTTTAAGGTGCTTTACGGATTGGAGTATTCAACAGACGGATAATCATTGGAACTAAGGCCTGACATTTACAGAGGCTGCAATATAAATCTTGATGGCAGCTACTATAGTCAAGGGTTGTATAATACTACTCATTGTACAGAGCTATGGAGTTTGCTGGTGCTATATAAATAATAAAATAATAATAAAGATGAGAAATGACTTGTGTTGAGGACTGCGTCTCCAAGATATATGGTAGTCCATATCAAAATAAATGAACTTCCATTGGACTAGCTAGAGAGACTGCAGAACCCTAACCCATTGATAACATAAATTCTAAACATGTTCTCCTTTACATATTACATAGTTACATAACTGAAAAGAGACTTGCATCCATCAAGTTCAGCCTTCCTCACATTAGTTTTTTTGCTGTTGATCCAAAAGAAGGCAAAAAAAACCCAGTTTGAAGCACTTCCTATTTTGCAACAAGCTATGAAAGAATTCCTTCTTGACCCCAGAATGGCAGTCAGATTTATCCTTGGATCAAGCAGTTATTACCCTAAATTGAAAGATTCATATACTTGAATATTCTGTTTTTGCAAGTATGCATCTAGTAGTTGTTTGAACATCTGTATGGACTCTGATAAAACCACTTCTTCAGGCAGAGAATTCCACATCCTTATTGTTCTTACAGTAAAATAAACTTTCCTTTGTCTTAGACAAAATCTTCTTTCTTCCAGTCTAAACGCATGACCTAGTGTCCTATGTAAAGTCCGGTTTGTGAATAAATTTCCACACAATGGTTTGTATTGGCCCCGAATATATTTGTATAATGTTATCATATCCCCTCTCAGGCAATGTTTTTCAAAACTAGATAGGTTTAAATTTGTTAACCTTTCTTCATAGCTGATATGTTCCGTTCCTTTTATTAATTTTGTAGCCCGCCTCTGCACTTTTTCTAGTGCCATAATATCCTTCTTTAGAACAGGTGCCCAAAATTGCACAGCATATTCAATATGGGGTCTTACCAGTGATTTATAAAGAGGCAAAATTATATTCTTGTCCCGAGAATGAATGCCCTTTTTCATGCATGACAATACCTTACTGGCCTTGGCCACTGCTGATTGACATTGCACATTGTTGCATAGTTTGTTGTCTATAACAATTCCCAAGTCCTTTTCGTGTGCTGTTATCCCTAATTCGCTTCCATTGAAGAATGTCCTTAATGTCTAAAGAATATATAGAAACACAGAAGATGTGTACCATTTATTTTATTCATTGTGAGGGACATGGGAAATGTTAATGAGCATATATTTTTTTAAACAAACATTAAAAAATTTGCTGTTTACTATAACCACACAGTCACTTACCGGCTCCCTAAAGAGATCACTCATTACACAGCCACACAGTCATCTAATGGCTCCCCCTACAGACCACTGACAATACAGCCACAAAGGCATATACCGGCTCTCCCTACAGACCTCTTACAATATAGTCACACAGTCATTTACAGGCTCCCTATAGAGATCACTGATCACACAGCCCCATAGGCATGTACTGGCTCCCTCTACAGACCACTAACAATACACCCACACAGGCATCTACCACTGACCACACAGCCACACAGACATGTACCAGCTCCCCCTACAAACCACTGACAATACAGTCACATAGTCATGTACCAGCAATACGTACAGACAATTGACCAAATAGTCACAAAGGCATACACTGGAACCCCATACAGATCACTGACCACGCTGGCTTCTATCAGCTCCCTATATAGACCACTGTCCATTCAGTCACTACCGGCTCCTTCTGCAGATTGCTTGGCTTATAGTCACACAGAGCATGTGCAAGCTTTGCCTAGAGATCACATATTGTACAGAGCATATCCTAGATTTTCCAGTGGTAGTTGAGAGCATTGTATCATACTGTGACAGAGATAAAACCAGATTCCCCTACCAGGAATTGTGCCCTGCAGTCCGATAGAGCATGTGCTGGCTCCCCCTACAGGGCATTGTGCTGTACTGTCACACAGAGAGTTTACTGGATCCCCTTACAATCTGACAGATAGTGTGTTTACCCACAGGGCATTGTGCTGTATTGTAACACAGTCAGCATATAGACTGCAGAGCAATTGGTCATATAAAGACACGGAGCTGCCTATCTACATCAAATAACCCACATTTCCATGTAAATAAAAGCTGTCCCTGTTTTTATTCCTTAGAATGTTACCAAAGCATGAAAGTCTCATAAACATTATGGCTGTATTTATGAAGGGAAAAAACTTTTAAATTGGAACAATCAGCATGGAAGCCTAAGGAACATTCTGTCACGTTGATTGTTCCAATTATAGGACCTTGGCGCTAAATCACCCTTTGTTCACATGGCCCTTCTGGTCCATCCTAAAAGCCAGCAGACTGCTAAGTTGCAAGCTAATTCCCATATCAGGAAGGTATTGGTTCTAACATTATCTCGTGATATAGCCACGGTCCACATGCCATTCATGATGTTAGATGACCGTTCTACCAGTCTCAGCATCTTCACATACTGACTGGCAAGCAGAGGCTCCATTTCATTAGGACTCCGGTACCACACTGCAAAATCACATTTCTACCCATAAAGTCGAGCATAGCAAGCTTGGCAGTATGGCTTGCTGTCATGCTCCCGGAAGGTCCCTTTGTTCAGCTGTCGGAGACAGAAGGTGCAGTTAAGGTGCTGAGGGTGAAACTTCTTGCCCATTGCAGTTACACAACGACCTGTTATTGGCTGGTCACATCCTGCACACAGCGAGCCTCGGCAGGAGTGATAATGCGTTTCACACAGAGGAAGGCCGTCATTTTCAAAGAAACTTCCATTGATGAATGGCGTGTGACAAACCTAGAAAAAAAAAACCACAATCTATGATATTAATAAAAAAAAAAACATTGCCTTCATAGTTTCCTATCCCTGGCTCTACAGTCCCCTCTCCATGTATCCTTATTATTATTTATAAAGCGACAACAAATTTAGCAGCGATGTACAATTACAATGGGTGTACTAACAGACACTTATTTAAAATCAGATGAGTTGGACACACAGAAACAAAGGGGTTGAGGGCCCTGAGAGTACATGTTAGAGGGAGTGGGGTATAGTGATACAAGGTAAGGGTAGGGTGGAAAAGTAGGTTGTTAGAATAGTATTCGCTCAGGGTGCAAGGAGGGAAAGCTGTTAACCGTTTAACCGTTTAATTGATACACTTTCCTAAAAAGGTGAGCTTTCAATGATTTTATGAAGGAGTGGAGATTGGGTGAGCATCTAACAGAGAGGGGAAGGGAATTCCATAGGAACGGTGCAGCCCTAGAGAAGTCTTTAAGGTGAGCATCAGAGGTAGGAGTATGGACAGAGGCTAGATATAGATCTTTGGCAGAGTGTTGGAGCCTAGATAGGACATATTTGTGTATTAGGGACAAGGCCGCCACCAGAGATTTTGGGGCCCCTAACACAGCCCAAGTCTGGGCCCCTGGGGGCCCGCCTCCAAACCTGCCCACAAGGCCAGCCTCCCAGCCCTCCCAAACGGTCTGCCTCCAAGTCTGCAGTGTGTGTAAAGTGGACACAGGGTGTGTTTGTGTATTGGATGCAACGTGTGTAAAGTGGACATGGTGTGTATTAGTACATGTGTAATGGATGCAGTGTGTGTGTGTGTGTGTGTTTGTATGTGTATATATATATTTATACACATACACACTATTTGTGTTTGAATGTAAGCATGTTTTTGTATGGCGTATGTGTGTGAATGTTGGTGTTTGAAGGAAGGAATGTAGGCATTTGTATATAATGTATACAATTCCGCACATACTTATTCACAGACACACAAAGATACACACACTGACACACCAATACACATGCAGACACACAGACACACACAATGACACATAGTTACACACAGATATTACATAGTTACATAGCTGAAAAGAGACTTGTGTCCATCAAGTTCAACCTTCCTCACATATGTTTTTGATGTTGATCCAAAAAAAGGCAAAAAACCCAGTCTGAAGCACTTCCAATTTTGCAACAAACTAGGAAACAATTCCTTCTTGACCCCAAAATAGCAGTCAGATGTCTAATTGGATCAAGCAGCTATTACCCCACTAATTAGAAATGATATTCCTGTATGTTATGTTTTTGTAAGTATTTATCCAATTGCAGTTTAAACATCGAATGGACTCTGACAAAACCACCTCTTCAGGCAGAGAATACCATATCCTTATTGCTCTTACTGTAAAAAAAACAAAAAAAATCTTTGCCTTAGATGAACTCTCCTTTCGTCTAGCCCAAATGCATGACCTTGTGTCCTATGTATAACCCTGTATATGAATAGATTTCCAGATAAAGGTTTGTACTGGCCCCGAATATATTTGTATAATGTTATCATATCCCCTCTCAGGCGCCGTTTTTACAAACTAAAGAGATTTAAATTTTTTAACCTTTCTTCGTAACTAAAATGCTCCATTCCTTTTAAAAAATTTGTAGCTCGTCTTTGCACTTTTTTAGATGCCATGATATCCTTCTTTAGAACAGGTGCCTAAAATTGCAGAGGATATTCAAGGTGCGGTCTTACCAGCGATTTATAAAGAGGCAAAATTATATTTTCATCCCAAGAATGTATGCCCCTATTTATACATGACAAAACCTTACTGGCCTTAGACACTGCAGATTGACATTGCGTATTGCTGCCTAATTTGTTGTCTATAACAACTCCCAAATTCTTCTTGTGTGTTAAAAGTAGCTTGGTATGCTCCTAAAGTTAGGTGCAGTAAAATCCAGGAGTCAATTCACTTAAAAAGGCTTTTCTATATTAACAAAATAATTAGGAGAGATACACAGATAATATGTGTGGGGTGTATATCTTTAAATCTGCTTTAAGCAGAATCAAGTTATTACACACCAAATAGTTCTACTTGAAATTTCAAGATGTATACTGTAATACTTTCAAGTAGAACTATTTGGTGTAATAACTTGATTCTGCTTATAGCAGATTTAAAGATATACACCCCATACATATTATCTGTGTATCTCTCCTAATTATTTTGTTAATATAGAAAAGCCTTTTTAAGTGAATTGACTCCTGGATTTTACTGCACCTAACTTTAGGAGCATACCAAGCTACTTTTATTCTATTTTGAGGCGGAGCATTTGGTGAAACTCCTGCACATATCCAGTTTGAGACATTTTGCTACAAGTCGGACTCCCTCACCTCTGGGTGTTGCAATAGGCATACCAGACCATCCTATACCCATCTTCTTGTGTGTTGTTCACCCTAATTCACTACAATTTAGGGCAGTGATGGCGAACCTATGGCACGTGCGCCACAGGTGGCATGCCGTGCCCTCTCTGTGGGCACGCGGCCATAGGTCGCTGGGGGTGGAGGCCGCTGGCTGTTGGTAACAATGCAGAGTAGGCACCTGCCTGCCCAAAACGGCAGACATCTAGTCTGCTTCCGTGTCGGGAGGACCCGGAGGCAGGGGGAGAGATCTGTGAAGCAGCTCTCTGTCCTCCCGCGAGCAATCTGTGTGGAGCGTTGCCATGTGTTACCATGGCAACGCTCCACACAGCATTGTGCAGGAGGACAGGTGAGCTGCATTCATTACAGACTGTAACAGGGCAAGTTGTTAACACATAAGACTACTGTGAAGTGGATTGCAGTACAGAGGACAATGGCATGGACCAACATCTTAGCCGCATCTGTGGTTAAATGTTTTTGAGATGGATGCGGCAGGATTTGGTGATCGACTGGACATGAGGGTTGAAAGAAAAGGGTGGAGTCAAAGAGAACATCAAGGCAGTGAGCTTGTGAGGTAGCGGTGATGGTAGCGCCGTTGACTTGGAGGGTGTAACATATTCATCCTCACCTTGCGACATTGCTAGTGATTGCCTTGCCGGCAAGTAGGGTGGGACCGTTCAGGGGCCATGTGTCAATATGTCTGACCCCTGCAGCATGTTGATGGATGCTGGATGCTGCGGATCTACACCAATTTGTAACCCCATGTCTGCCCACGGCATGGATGACATCGACGTGTGCGTGACGTCACATAAAGGATGCACACACACATTCTGGGGTCAAAGGCCGGTTACAGCCAATCGGATCCACAAGAGAGGTATTTAAGCTTACCTATTCCTTCTGCTCATTGCCCAGTCCTGGTTTCCCTTAGTGGTTGTCCGAGAGTGGGTTCCTGAGCATTTATTTCTGGTATATGACTTTGGCTTCGTTTGACTTCCCTGTATTCTGGTATCCCTGACTTTTGGCTTTCCCTCATCGTTGTGTCTCTTTCTGTATCCCTGACCTCGGCAAGTATTCTGACTATTCTTTGGTATGTTAAGTCCGGCCATTCTAAGGCCCGGTAAGACGTTACCTTTAGTCCTAGGTGTGATACAATTCTACGTGCTGGATCAACTTTAATCCTGACAGAGGGAGACAGACACAGGAGTAGCAACCCTTGAGGGAGGAAAGACCAGAGGTATTGTTTTGGACAGGTTGAGTTTAAGGAAGTGAGCAACGATCCAGTTGGAAATAGCAGAGAGGCAGTCAGAGACACGAGTCAAGATGGGCGGAAAGAGATCAGGAGAGGACAGGTAGGTTTGCATGTCATCGAAATGGTATTGGAAGCCACAGGAGCATAGAAATGATATTGGAAGCCAAAGGAGCTGATGAGTTTACCAAGGGAGGCAGTGTAGATTGAGAACAGTAGGGAGCCAAGGACAGAACCTTAGTCCCCTGGCTCTATAGTCCCCTCTACTTGACTACATAGTCCTCTCTCTCTGTTTACATAGTCCCCTCTCCTTGCCTCCATAGTCCCCTCTTCTGCCTCCATAGTATCCTCTATAGCCCCCTTTCCTTGCCTCTTCCTTCCTCCATAGTCCCCTCTTTCTGCCTCCATAGTCCTCTCTCTCTGTCTCTGGCTTTGTAGTCCCCTCTCCTTTCCTACAAAAGTCCCCTCTCCATGCACCCATAGTCCTCTATCTCTGGTTCCATATTCTCCTCTTCCTGCCTCCATAGTCTCCTCTCCTTGTAATGGATTCCTCCGTACTTGGGACTCGTAGAGAGACTTAGATGCCAGTCTCCATCCCACAGACTATGGCCCCATGGAACTATACATCGCTTCGGAACGTTAACTGGGTCGCTATTGGACACCGTATGTGGAATCAGAGCGCTATTTGGACAGTGGGTAACTGAGGTGGTGAGTTATCCTGGGATGTATGGTTTGTCTGGGTTCTAAGTTGGAGAAGAGGATTTTGGGGCTCTGATTTCCATGCACTCCATGTCTGGAGAGGCCCCTGACAGACAGGTGTTGTGAAGGGAACTTGTTATTTACCAATAAAAGCCGTTTATGTTATGAATGTTGTGATCACTGCCTCATTCAACCCTGCGGTCACTGGCAAACACCACCAGGGACACCATACACACATCAAAGTCTGGCAATCTAGCCAAACCCAGATCCTGGTGTCCACAATGCCAATATCACATTGGCCAGTGCAGGCATGTAGAACAGTGATTTTACAAGCCGCCTGTCTTTGCACAAACCCACATAGTTCAAGGCTGTTTAAGGCAAACAAAAGAGGGTAGGAGAGACACGGAAACAGATATTAAAAATAAAAAAAAGTTGGAGTAGAAAGGAGTCTTATGAGAGAATATGGCAGACATATTGAGAAAGAAGATTTGTCCTTTAAAAACAAAAATTGGTTTTAATAAATATAGAGAAATAAGACACTATAGCCACTGTACACTCAATCTTTAGCCCCATTACCGCCACCTACTACAGCCTCCTCCCTCTCGATACACACTAAAACCCATATCCCCCAGACACAACAGCTCTAATCACCACCACCCACTACAGCCACCTCCCTTCCACACACTACAGCCCCCATCCACTACAGTCACCTCCCTTCCACACTCTATAGCCCCTATCCCCCCCAGACACTACAGCTCTAATCACCACCACCCACTACAGCCCTTCCACAATCTACAGCGCCTATCCCCTATACACTACAGCCACCATCAGCCATCTCCCTTCCATATACTACAGTCCCTATCATCCCAGACACTACATCTCCCATCACCCTCACCCACTACAGCTATCTCCATTCCACACACTACAGCCCTTATCCCCATACACTACAGCTCTCATCAGAGACGTAACTAGAAAAAAACAGGCCCCTGTGTGAAAATTGCCCTTGGGCCCCCCCATGCATCTCTCCCACCTGCCCAACCCCTCCATGTGTTTCTCCTACCTCCCCGAACCCCTCCATGTGTCTCTCCAAAATAAACTATTAAGTAGTGCTTCCCCTGGGTGGAATTTCACATAACCAAACGCACTTGGTCGAAGGACTGGTGGCCATTTTCTCTCCTGAACACCTGGAACCCTTTTTGGATTGACGACCTCGTGAACTTTGGAGAAATTCTACTGCTACTTGCTCCGTGCCCCAACCAGCTAGGAGAGCGCTTTTCTGGAGAAAGAGACTATCAACCAGGGGTCGCTCCCTAGAAGCAAGTCACTATCTTGAAATAATGATCGCACAGGAAACCCTGATCGGAGACCAGCCATTGCCCTACTTTCTATGAAACTATTTTGGGCTTCAACCTCTTGGCCGGCCGGTCAGAAATTTACCCCGGTGGCCAAACGGATCTGAGCAATATTTGGACAACTTGGGTGCTCGGATCTGGGCTATCCGGGATACTTGTGGGGTTCCTGTGGATACTTTTGGGGGATTGTATACATATTTTGTATGTTTCCCTGTAACTGAGAGATAATTGAGTTACAGTTGTTTGACTCAATTATCTCCCAAACACAGGGACGCCAGGGAGTGGCTTGCTATACTCTTGTATGGAGACTCCATGCTGGGAGTCTGTGTATAAATTGAGCATTTGTGCCTGAATAAACCAGATGACTCCCAGAACTATGCCTCGTCTAGTTACTGGGGGGGATACGAGCATAATCACACAAGGTTCCAGTCTGGCTGAGAGGGAAAATAGTGGAGGTAACCATTTGGGTTACCCCGAGTCCGCTATACTGACAGACACACACACACTGACAGATACACACAGACACTCACTGACAGACACACACACACTCTGAAAGACACACACACTCTGAAAGACACACACTCACTGACAGACACACTCACTGAAAGACACATACACTCACTGACAGACACACACACTGACAGACAGACACACACACACTGACATACTCTCACTGACAGGCACATACACATTCTTGCAGTCTCTCACACATGGATTTAATTGAGCACCATCCAGCCTGCCTACCTCTCCCTGGGGTCCGGTGTGGAGCTGTGCTGTGACAGGTCCTCACTCCTCCGGCACGCAGTTTAGTATGCCGAGGCCAGAATGATGTCTTATATATATCACACAGGGCACGAGGGAGGAGTAAGGAACTGCAAGATCAGCCTCCCTTGCCACCAGGTGCCTGCCTCATCTTCCCTCCCCGCCCGGAGTGACAGGCCCAGTCGCAGCTGTGACCCCTGAGGCCATGGCAGTTATGCCACTGGCTCTCATCATCCCCACCCATACAGTACAGCCCCCATTACCCCCACCCACAACAGCCACCTCTCTTCTACACACTACAGCCCCATCACCCCCACCGACTACAGCTCTGATCCCCCATACACACTACAGCTATCTTACTTCCATACACTATTTTCATACAGTCTGCATCCCCCAAACACATTACAGCTACTATACATACACACTACACTGAAAACAGCCCCATACACACATGCAATGCCACCAGCCGAAATCCCCCACTACACACAAATCCTCCAAATGCATGCAACACCCAGGCAGCCTCACACACACAACTCCTAGCCCTATCCTTCTTTTGTTCTCTGTTATTCCACTTATGGGGACACCAGAGACAATTCACCAGCAAATGCACAACAAGCATGTCAATACATTCGCCTGTGCTGCCCTAAACAAACACATGGCATTTTCTCCATGAGCTCTGCGCAGGGGCTGCCCAGGAGGGGCATCAAACTGACATGCCGTCCTTGGGAGAATGTGTCATTGGTGATAACATGCCCCCTATATCGGCCCACCCCCTCCTATTAGTCTGCTCTGGATTTAAATTCCTCTGCCTGTAGTCATTTATATTTAATAATATCTCTCTGTTCGCCACAAGGAATGACTGTGGTGTTTATGTGATCTGAAAATACAGTGAGTGCATTCTGAATAACAAGAAATATCTCAAGTCTGTGGCCGTGGTAATTTGTCTGTGATTCTCCAGATGTTGTTTTTGTCAAGCAATCACACAGCCAGCATGTTAGGATGTGACACTCACATTACACACAAAGCAGTGTGGATGCCACAGACCACCAAGTGCTGATATGTAGCTCTCCATCACCGGCTCGGTGCAGCCGGCACACACAGCGCCAAAAAGACGGAAATAATCATCTGCGCAGTACTGAACGCCATCTTTCTCGTGGAACCCTGCCGCAAAACACAAAAAGAAACACAGATTGTTCAACCTGAGATTTATTCGTTCTTTACTTTACTTCCCAGTGAGATATAAAACTAAATTCGGTCTTTAATAGTAATTACTGCAAATGGTCATGAAATACATGGAAATATATTTTCACATATTTGGTCTCTATTATTTTCAAGAAGACTTTACAGTATTAATAAAAAAAGTTTTTTTCAAAATATTAAAATATCCAAAATTATAAAAAAAATTACACAATTAAACTTTTAAAACAATATTAGGAAAAATAATTTATCAGCTAGGTTTTTCTCTAGATGTGGGGATAGTGTGGCATGTAAGATTACTAAAATGAACCCACAGAAATGTAAAAACGACACCTCTGATGCTTACAACAGGAAGTTTAGCAGGAAATTCATTAAAATGACAATGATCGGGAATTCAGAGGGAATTTTGAATTAAAGGCCATGGTGGTCAAACGAAGTATAGCTGACTTGTGGAATTTTTTTAAATTAAGCTATTTAAGCATTCAATGTCAAATTACTTTGATTTCATGACAATTCTCAATTTAGTGAGTGAAGTCGCTAATTACTCGCAATGCAAAAAAAATATTTATATGCTTACTTGCCCAAGCAGGTACCAGAGCATTAAAACTAGAATTGCTAATCATAGAGGTAACATTAGGAGGAATTTTGAGAATCTAAGACATCGAACCACGGTTTTAATATAGATTTTGAATTACATAAACTTATGTGATGTCTTTTTACAATAAGGTTTGATTTTCTATTTGTAATTTTATAATCTTTCTTATTTTTTTTATATATTTTGATTTATTCTTTCTACATATGTGTAAAGTGATTTTATTATACCCTGGTGTAGTAATTTATATTGCATTATAAAGGTCACCACCACAATCAGTGATTTTTTTTTGTCTATTTATTTATTTCACATTGGACCTTGTATTGAAATAAACGTATAAATTACATACAAGGTCAATGACCTGGCAAAAATGACCAATATCAAAAAGAAAAAAAAATGCGTATACATATACCACTGAGTAGAAAAACACAGAAATTAGATGCTCACTATATAATTTAATTGCGGCAGTCAATCTTAAAAGGTTTCCCTAAAACTTTGTAGGAATCAAGATAGGAAACAAATACAAAAAATAGGTAACCGCACCTAGAACACAATAATGCCCATAAGTCACATATAGATCATATATACGTACTATTTTTTATGGGATCTTTGGCTATTATACAGTGTATTATATATCAAAAAGAAAGGAGGAAAAAGAGAGACAATAATAGTGCAGTATGGGCGGGGCCTGACCGCCATGCAGGCTGGCCGCAGGGAAAAACAGCTCCTACAATTACCCGACTTTTAAGCTTAGAAAAAGAAACATCTGAACCCGCTAGACGACCTAAAGCGGCGAGCTGACACATGAGGAAGCACTGGACCCGGGGAGAGGTTTGCTATAAAAGTTTTAGTCCCTCGGAGAGTTGTACATCATCCTCTCGGGATGAGGCCTACTCAGGCGGTGAGCGGGCGGACGGCCGCTGCCCCGCTATCCTGCCCAATGGCATCCAGCCAGACTCCCTCAGCTGAGCACACCGGGCCCTGTTCACCCCCCCTCTGGGCCGGCGGGGGTGTTCCTGGCCTACACCCTGCGTCCCCCATCGCAACAGAGATCTTCAAGCCCCAACGTACTGCCAAAATGCAGCTCAAGACACAAGCGAAAATAAAATGGTGGGAGCCATGGAACTGCCCACTTGCCTAGCACCTTCAGCCACAGGAGGGATACAATCCCTGCAAATCCGAGGCAGGCCCTACATACCTGCTAGTGGCAGCCTAAACGCTGGGAACACAGCAACACACCACATCAACATCAACCTGACAAAGGTTACCGTGGTCCCTGGGAGCACACTCAGCAAAGAGGTGGGAGAAGCTGCCAGCCGACACAGAAGCAACTAATCAGACCCAGCAGCTAATCCCTGGGGCATCCCCGGACGGCGGCAGCAAAGTGCACAACACCACTCCACATCTCCAAGGCAGCACTGCGACATTTGCCAGCCAGACCGCAACAGGATGACACCAAACGGCTAGAGGGTATGGGCTGAGGCGAACTTTTTGCCATAAGGGGACTTCCCAGCTTTCTTCCTCCATATTGCGGACTCTGAATGGGAATGACTAAATCACATCCTTGCCCTCACTGAGGGTGCTAAATGCCCTATATACCTACAATATGCATTAGTACGCAGCTGCCTGACGCTGGGATTGCGGGTGTCCCCACACTATAAGCATGTTTTCCTCTGATACCTAACAGGTCCCCAGGGCATACCTAATGTTTTTATGTTTGTTTTAGGCCTGTTGCCCACGTAAGGTGTTTTAGATGCCTGTATGATATCAATTTGCCAACTGACCCCTATTTAGCAAGCATAGTCTACACTGATTAAGCCTATACAATCATAGAAATGTGCTACCGCATAGGCAGACAAGCAAGATGTAACACCACCACGTCAATCAGCCTAGCAGGAGCATAGCAGAATAATCTTATATGTACGTTCTCTGTACAAGCCATGCTCTCCTCCTATGTCTCTCCTCTACCTATTTCTCCATGACATGTGCATTATGCTAACATATTCAACACCAAACGTGAACCTAAACTACTGTACTAGAGATCATATTAATATTATAAAAATGTGCCTGTACATCGAATGCCATGACATGTAATACCAATGTTCACCTATTCTACGGGATGTCGCTGTTGTGGCGCACGCCGGCTGTTTGTTCATCCTGTGCACAATCAAAATAAAGAATTACAAAAAAATAAAATAAAAAATAAAATAAATAAATAATAGCGCAGTATGTCTTTAACACAGTAACAAAAATTAACTCACAATTTACAGAGCTACAAAGAGCTCTGCTGTATTGGGCATAGATGGTACAATCCCTGTTACAGGATATATTTTCAGCTGCAGACTTTGGCAGTGTCTTGGATATGTGGAAACAAAAATAGGGCTATCCAGTAGTGCAATATGTATATCAAAGTGACTGTGCATTTACAAAAGGATTGGTATCTTACTCACATGAACTAGACCATGGATTTGCTATAGTATTTAGCGCAGCGGTGGTATAATCCCCACCTGGGATATATGTGATTCAGGAAGCCAAGAAAAAAATTAAAAAAAATAATTCAAAATAAATTAAATTTATATTTAAAAGGATTCATTTTATTATGGTAAACAGAATATATATATATATATATATATATAAAATATAGAGGGCGGATCCAGCTCTCGGCATGAACAGTCGCACACCTACGGCAGCCCTAAAAGGCCCAAAATCAGCCTCATAAATCACCCCATCACTTGGCAGTCGGGGAGGAGAACAAAAAAGCTGTGTCCAAATTGCCCACGGTACACAGAAGATATAGGCAACCTGTTGAAGAGGCCGCTTGGCGCGACGGGACCCAACATGGCTTCGAAGAGTACTCAGAGAGCTCGGATGACATGTCCCTTCACTGCCCTGAGACATTGGTCTATAAAGGGCCCTCCAAACCCACCCAACCGATGGCGGGTCTCCCAGTAACTACGGAGATACTTACCTCTCTCCTGTCCGACCTTTGCCAGTCACTCTTCATGGAGATCTCCCAGTTAAGGGAGAATGTCAAGGGGTTCACTGATCGCCTCTCAGCAGTGGAGCAAACCACTGAGACACAGGCAGCACAATTGACAGAGCTCCAGAATAAGGTCCAAGACCTTTCCTCAGCTCACACTACAATCACCCACCAACTAGCAGCTATGGAGGACAAGAGAAGATGGAACCACATCAAAATAAGAGGCCTCTCCGAAGCTGTATCCCCAGCTGAACTTCCCCACCTACTGAGAAGGCTATTTGCGGCCCTCCTGTCCCCATAGCAAGCTAAGGGATACAGCTGGATGGCATGTTCCGCCTGCCCAAACCACCACAACTCACAAGCTCTGCAACTCCTGGTCAAATTTCAAAACGGGCATGATAAGGCTGCTTTTATGGGTGCCATCAAGGGGAAGAATCCCTACCGCTTCGAAGACATGGACTTAACGTTCTACTCTGATCTTTCATGCACAACCCTGCAATGGCGAAAGTCTCTTCGACCACTTACAGCGACACTAACAGCCAAAGGAGTGACATACCGTCGGGGACCATCGCACGTACTCCTCATGCAACACCAGGGCTAGGAATATAAAGCGACAGACATCGCAGAGATGGACACTGTCCTGGCAGCTACGGGTCTCATAACCTCCTCGACCACTACTACTTGGGATCCAACCAATATTGTCCCGTTTGTTCCAGCCTCCAGGGGCGCACCAGGAATGGAGACCACCTGAACCAGGACTGCTGTTTTTATTTTGCCGTTTGTTTTTTTTTTTTTTCACCCTTGTTCTCCTTTCTATCCAAACTATTTTACATTATATGTTGTCTTCCATGCATAGGCCTCTAGGGCTGTATAACCCAGAGTTTCCTGCACGCACACAGCAGGAGCGTTACAGGGCGGTCCCCTTCTGCCGACACTGGGCATAACTCGGACACGCTGGATCCTTTCACTACCTACTCCCCCCCAGCTCCACTCCGACTACCTCACAATGTGGTCACTGACAAGGAGCTGCTCAAATACCACACCAGGCTACACGTCGATATCCTCTGTTAAAGGACCACTATAGTGCCAGGAAAACATACTAGTTTTCCTGGCACTATAGTGCCCTGAGGGTGCCCCCACCCTCAGGGTCCCCCTCCCGCCAGGCTCTGTGGAGAGTGTGACGAAGTGCCCTTCGCCACTTGGTCCTGGAGAGGCTGCAGTGCTTGGAGTCCTCAGGAAGCGCTAGGAGCATCCGTCAAACGGAGGGTACTCGGTCGGAGTACAGGGAGCTCCGTTACATTGGTGGCAGCGGTGGGATGGCGTCCTAGTGCGAGGAGAAGCAGCTCGGAGACACTGGTATCGTATGAGAGGTTATTGAGGGCAACGCTAGCCACTGTGCAGCGTCCCTAACTACAGCAGCATGGAGCAGGGATGGATAGAGCCCTGCGAAGAGCACCTCAACATGATACGTCGCTACGAGGACGACGCTTACATTGAGGAGGTAAAGAGTCTGCTATGGCCCCGACCTTTCGAACGAGGTGGTCCACCAAGTAATGCGCCAGTTGAGTGCTGAGAACAGTGCGGCAATGGCCTTTGAGCGACAACTGTGGAGGTTGAGGATATGGACACCTAGTCTCAGTGGCAGTGCAAGTTACAGGGAGCCAAAGGTGTCGTCCTTCCTCCCCAGCGGCAGTGCAAGTTACAGGGAGCCGAAGGTGTCGTCCTTCCTCCCCAGCGGCAGTGCAAGTTACAGGGAGCCGAAGGTGTCGTCCTAACTCCCCAGCGGCAGTGCGAATTCCAGGGGGCCGAACGTGTCGTCCTTCCCCCCCAGCGGCAGTGTGTCCTACAGGGAGCAGAGACAGTTGGTCTCTCTCCCCAGCGGCAGTGCAAATTACAGGGAGCCGAAGGTGTCGTCCTTCCTCCCCAGCGGCAGTGCAAGTTACAGGGAGCCGAAGGTGTCGTCCTTCCTCCCTAGCAGCAGTGTGTCCTACAGGGAGCAGAGACAGTTGGTCTCTCTCTCCAGCAGCAGGACAATGTTATGGGAGTGGAGACAGGCGGTCTCCCTCTCCAGCGGCAGCCTGTGTTTCAGGGAGAGGAGCACAGCACCCTATCTCCCCAGCGGCAGCTTACCCTACCAAGGGGAGACACCAATCTCCCAGATGGCGCAGAGGGGACCGTGGTCTCTGTGCCCGACCTACAGGGATGCTGGACAGCCTGTCCAGATCCCCAACTACCCTCACAGGGACAACAGGAGGAGGGGGTAAGTACGAATTCCCCTCCCCAGCTAACTCCTAACTTGGCCCCAGGGTTAACAGGGGAGATGTTAACCCCCACTGACCCCCACGTTCCCCTGGCTACTGAGCCGGACTATGTCCCAAGCCCCCCAGCGGAAGAGCTGGCAGCTGGGCAGAGTGCAGTCGGCCTCTGCCCTCCCTTTGTCCCTTGTCCAGAGCCTGATGTCCTGCAGGCTATACCAGCAGAAGAGCTGGCATCAGGGCAGACCGCCGCTGGCCTCTGCCCTACCGATCCCCTTGTCACAGGACTGGCCTGCACCCCCCTCCTCCCAGCAGAAGCGCTGGCATCAGGGCAGAGCGCCGCTGGCCTCTGCCCCTCAAGTCCCCACAGCGTGTTGCCCCATCACCCCAGAGGAATACCCAGGTGCAGTCACTGTTTGCTGTGGGTGGGCTGCTCTAATAACTGTTTGTTGTGGGTGGGCTACTCTGGCACTTGCTTATGGTCGGTGGGTGACTCGACTAACTTAGGCACTGACCGACAGAAAGTCAGGTGCCTGGTTAGTCTTCCCCCCGAAGGGGAGATATGTGACGAAGTGCCCTTCGCCACTTGGTCCTGGAGAGGCCTACTTGCCAGCCTCCTCCCCTGTGACTATGACTCTTTTATGTATCTGGCTTTAAAGCCCCTAGTCTACCTTCAGACAGACTATTTATGTAGGCTGCTTTATTTATCTTATGTTTTAGTCACCCTGTACCCATTATAGGTGCAGGGTGTGTGTAATGTAATTGTTTATAGTGTGTGTGTGTACTGTGTAATGTATTGCCTGCTCTCTTGTATTGCTGAGGTTTGCTACCAACTAGGTGGGTTTGGCTATGGAGCTTGTCTAGTGCCCTCTGTTGGTAGCAACAGCAATATGCACTACCTGAATTGCAAGACTGGTTCATTTGCATATTCGGGTAGATTTGCATATTGCTAATTCTGCAGGCAGGTGAGATATTTACTGTTAAATATTGTCTCCCCCCACCCCTTTAAAAATGTGCCATTGTGTTGTGATAAGTCACTGTGTGTTGTTTGATATGGTTTGACTGTTTGTGATTTTATTGAGGTTTCACAACAATGTTATTGTGGTGACCCGATTGGCTGGTCCCAAGGGAAATAAAGGTTTTGACAGTTCTTCTTGATCCCTCTATACGTAGCCTTGTCTCGTTATTGGAGGGAGCTGTTATAATCACACTGGGGATTTCTATGCTCTGCATGCTCCCCTGAGCTTGAGTCACTTAGCTCTTTTAAGAGCTTGTTCCTGACGTGCTCTCCTTGGAGGAGGGGTCTTCACCACACAGTCCTGGAGGACAGAAGCTGATCCAGGGTGGAAGGAAGACGGCAAGACTCCAGTCAAGATCCGGCAGTTGCGGAGTCTGCGGTGGTTGCAGTGTCTGCTGCAGTGCTTGGAGTCCTCAGGAAGCGCTAGGAGCATCTGTCAACGGAGGGTACTCGGTCGGAGTACAGGGAGCTCCGTTACAGAGAGGAAGGGGTTAAAATCTTACCTTTGTCCAGCGCCGGGCGGGGAGCTCTCCTCCTCCTCTCCGCCTCTTCTCCTCTTCGGCTGAATGCGCATGCGCGGCAGGAGCTGCGCGCGCATTCAGCCAGCATTCATAATGCTTTCCTATGGATACTTGCTTCTTTTCGCTGTGATTTTCACAGTGAGAAGCACGCAAACGCCTCTAGCGGCTGTCAATGAGACAGCCACTAGAGGCTTTTTTAGGTTGGATTAACCTATTTATAAACATAGCAGTTTCTCTGAAACAATGTTTATAAAAAAAAAATGGGTTAACCCTAGCTGGACCAGGCACCCAGACCACAAGCACATATGCCAAACCTAACTCTACGACCGTATCAGAAACCACTCTTTTCACACATAAACACTAACCCTACGTTGTTATATTCTGCGAATAATCTTTACTATTTTTAAATATTGTGTCGTTACTCAATATGCCATGTTTTTGTTATACTCTATTGCTACTGAGCTTGTTATAGCTGTTGTGGCTATCCAAGCATGTTGTTAATGCATAATGCATACACAACAAAAATAAAGAATAAAAAAATATGTATAGAATCAAAAGCAATCCAAATGGAAGCCAGAACGACACTTTACTGATTTCACCCTGGAGGTTTCATCAGAAGTGTCAAGTGTGGCTCTGTCTTGTCTCTGTCTCCATTTGGATTATACCACCACCATTGTGCTATATACTAGAGCAAATCCATGGTCTAGTTCATGTGAATAAGACACCTATCCTTTTGTATATGCACAGTCACTTTGATATACATATTGCACTACTGGATATCCCTATTTTTGTTTCCACATATCCAAGACACTGCCAAAGTCTGCAGCTGAAAATATAACCTGTGACAGGGATTGTACCATCTACACCCAATATAGCAGAGCTCTTTGTAGCTCTGTAAATTGTGAGTTAATTTTTGTTATAGCACTCTATTTCACCGTGTTAAAGACATACTGCACTATTATTATCTCTCTTTTTTTTCTCCTTTCTTTTTGAGATATCATACACTGTATAACAGCCAAAGATCCCATAAAAAATAGTACGTATATATGATCTATATGTGACTCCACTTATGGGCATTATTGTGTTCTAGACGTGGTTATCTATTTTTTGTATTTGTTTCATATACCACTGATTAACTGGACTCTCTTCCTGACCTACTCTTCTCCTATTCCAAACTCTGCTTTTTTGAATATAAACACATACGGGGTTGTTCACTAGACATAGGATCCTGTGAAAATGATTGAATTCCGATAGAAATGGCAATGCTCATATTTGCTAAAATCAAATATAGTCTGAATTCGGTCTCCCCAAGCATATCTGCAGAAATCGCCCACATGCATTCGGTTTGTGGATTAAAATCTGAGCTTTCATATCCGAATACTAAAAGAAGCGTAGGATTTGGAAGATTCACAAAGCACCCATATTACTAAAATTCAGCTTGCATGCATCCAGTAGATTGCTCAAGCCAATGATATTTTAAGATCTATTTGCCAGCTGGCAGCTCTAATTAATTAAACAGGTGTGGGGGTAGACATGCTATTGTCCATCCAACAAATGATAACAGCTCCTCCCCTCTTTCCATTTGGTTGACTAAAGGTCCACAGTCCCCTTGAAACCCCCATGAAAAAAAAATCTCTACTTACTACCACCCTGGCAAGGACTGGGTCATCAAGCAAAAGATCAGATAAAGAGCAGTCTGGGTTATTAAGATGATATAAAAGGAGGTATTTCTGGAGAGAGTTATACTGCTCGTAGAATAATCTGTTTAGAGTTAGTCCATTGTTCATTGGGAGATAGAGTCGGCTTATTCGTATATTTAATCTGATTTTCTATAGAGGGCTTATCCAGGATATGTCACATAGATTAACTAGAGTAAGAGGGGACAGAGAGACTGTGTGTCCGAGGCAGATATGCTACTTACCTTCTTCACCAATTTGTTTTCTGCATATTTTGCAACAAAAATGCTCTGGATGCCAAGTGAGACCAAGTGCCGTAACCATATTCTGGAAAAGCAGGAATAAAGAGGGAAGATTATGTGAAGGAAGATGTAATAGAAATGAAGAAAGGGTGCTTTGATTTAACTAGAAAGCCACACAGCTCATGGAATGTGACTCCGAACCTGTTGGATTAAGAACGTTAGCAAATTTGTTTAATATATATTTTATAGTAATTATAACGATGGACATCTTGTTTATGATCCCATTAGCCCAAGATTATTTTAATTTCTGTACTGTTAACTTCTGCCATTTCTACTGGAAGGAGAGTCCATATACTAACTTCACTTTTAGTGAGGTGCATGTTTAAATTAATTACTGCCTGCTAGTGAAAGGTGATTCTAGGTACCAGGAATAATGAAAAGAATGGACATCATGGTAAACCTGCACTCACAGTGGAGGTACAAGAGGATTTTAATTGGGTATACAATGAACAAGGAGTGGATAAGATTAAAGAATATAAAGAAATGAAAGGAGAGTAATACTGCTGTAAGGGAGAGTACAGACTGATGTTTTTTCCATACACAAAACATGGTTACCTTCATGATGGGCGAGTCACACATTGCGCATCGTGGAGCATGTAATGCAAAATAATCTCGTTCACAATATGGGTGGCCGTCCTTCTCAAAGAAGTTAGTGCTGCCAATCAGTGTGTGGCAGTGGGCACAGGCAAAGTGCTCGGGATGCCAAGTATGTCCTAAAGCAGTCACAACCTAAAACAATTTACATCATTAAACCATTTTATCATTAGCATTATCGATACAGCAAGCTCATTATCTCTTTTATAAGTAGAATTAGCGCTATCCAGATATGATCTGAGATTCAGCTATGGGAAAACTCGACTAGTCAAGTGTTTTAAACACCTTAATTTTTACAGTTTTTACTGAAATTTAAGCAGTTTGATCCCAGAGAATTATCTGTTTAGGGAAAAAAATAGTAATTGGATGCAATAGTTAGAGCAGGAGTTAGATGAGGAGGGGAAGAGCTGTATAAGCCTAGTGGATCACCAATAAGGTTTGTAATAGGATTGAACTATTTAATTGCAAACTTTTGTGGGGTTATATTTATATTGGATTGTTCATTTTATGTAATAGTGTAGATCTACGTCACTCCTTGTGTACCTGTGGAGGTCTAATAACATAGAACCAACTGACAAGCATTTTTGAAGAGTGGTGACCTTAAGGTTAAGTTATAAATAGGTTTTATTGCATTCATATTGTGTCCTGCTGATATCATATTTAATACAATAGTACAATGGTGGTCAGTGGTGGTTGACAGACTTGCTGGATGTTTGTCCCCCAGCTCCATATTACAACATAATACTGTGAGTGCAATCTAATTGTGAGTGCTCAGATCTATTAAAGTAATTTCACATTATTTGAATTGTTCTTAATTTATAGAAGAAGGTTCATATGAAGAGAAACTTCTCATGGGATGGATAATTCCAGTAATAGTCTGTTATCCTCAACGGGTCAACATATATGTAGTATGTATCGAGAGGGAACACAGAATAGGCCTCTGATAGTGAAGTCAGGAATTATAAAAAAAACCAGAGTGAGGGAGACAAAATGATCTATAAGATTAGACAGAAAGAGGCTAAGCAAGTTATAAGAGCTTCCAAATCACACACAGAAGAGAAAATAGCATAGTCAGTAAAAAAGGGGGATAAAAAATTTTTTAGATACATAAATGAGAAAAGAAAAGTAAAACAAGGATTAGATTAAAAACAAAAGAAGGAAGGTATGTAGAGGAGGATAAAGGTCTAGCTGACTGCCTCAATTAATATTTGTGTTCAGTATTTACAGATGAAAATGAAGGAAAGGGACCTCAGTTAAGAAAAAGGATAAATGAGTCATTTATTACACGTGAGTTTACAGAGGAAGAGGTTCTATTTCAACTGTCAAAGTAAAGACAAATAAGTCAATGGGACCTGATGGAATACACCCAAAGCTATTAAAAGAGCTTAGTGGTGTACTAGCAAAACCATTAACAGATTTATTTAACCAATCATTGTTAACAGGACTAGTCCCAGAAGATTGGAAGTTAGCGAATGTTGTGCCCATTTACAAGAAAGGTAATAGGGAGGAGTCGGGCAACTATAGGCCAGAAAGCCTTACTTCAATAGTGGGGAAAGTGATGGAAATCATGTTAAAGGATAGGATTGCTGAACATCTAAAAACACATGGATTTCAAGATCAGAGACAACATGGGTTTACTTCAGGGAGATCATGCCAAACTAATCTTATTGATTTTTTTGATTGGGTAACAAAAATAATAGATCAGGGTGGTGCAGTAGACATTGCTTACCTAGATTTCAGTAAAGCTTTTGACACTGTTGCACATAGAAGGCTTATCAATAAACTGCAATCTTTAAGTTTGGATTCAAATATTGTTGGATGGGTAAGGCAGTGGCTGAGTGACAGGCAACAGAGGGTTGTAGTTAATGGAATATATTTGAAGCTTGGACTTGTCACCAGTGGGGTACCTCAGGGATCTGTACTTGGACCCATTCTCTTTAATATTTTTATTAGTGATATTGCAGAAAGTCTTGATGGTAAGGTATGTCTTTTTGCTGTTGATACTAAGATATATAACAGCGTTGATGTTCCAGGAGGGATAAGCCAAATGGCAAATGATTTAGGTAAACTAGAAAAATGGTCTGAGTTGTGGCAACTGACATTTAATGTGGATAAGTGCAAGATAATGTATCTTGATGTAAAAACCCAAGGACAGAGTATAGAATATTTGATTGAGTCCTAACCTCAACATCTGAGGAAAAGGATTGGTTGTATAGGGAGAGGTATTACTTGGTAGAAGAGGGAAGTGCTTTCATGCTGCATTTACAGAACACTGGTGAGACCTCACTTGAAGTATTGTACACAGTACTGGAGACCGTATCTTCAGAAGGATATTGATACCTTAGAGAGGGTTCAGAGAAGGGCTACTAAACTGGTTCATGGATTGCGGGATAAAACTTACCAGGAAAGGTTAAAGGATCTTAACATGTATAGCTTGGAGGAAAGACGAGACAGGGGGGATATGATAGAAACAATTAAATATATAAAGGGAATCAACACAGTAAAGGAGGAGACCATATTTAAAAGAAGAAAAACTACCACAACAAGGACATAGTCTTAAATTAGAGGGGCAAAGGTTTAAAAGTAATATCAGGAAGTATTACTTTACTGAGAGGGTAGTGGATGCATGGAATAGCCTTCCAGCTGAAGTGGTAGAGGTTAACACAGTAAAGGAGTTTAAGCATGCGTGGGAAGGCATAAGGCTATCCTAACTATAAGATAAGACTAGGGACTAATGAAAGTATTTAGAAAATTGGGCAGACTAGATGGGCCGAATGTTTCCATGTTTCTATGTTTCTATACAGTAACCCTGCACCCCCCATATACAGTAACCCTGCAACCCTCCCATATACAGTAACCCTGCAACCCTCCCATATACAGTAACCCTGCACCCCCCCATAGACAGTAACCCTGCACCCCATGAACGGTAACCCTGCACCATAGACAGTAACTACCCCAGCAGTAACCCTGCACCCCATATACAGTAACCCTGCACCCCATATACAGGTACCCCTGCACCCCCATATACAGTAACACTGCACCCCATATACAGTAACCCTGCCCCCATATTCAGTAACCCTGCACTCCCCATATACAGTAGCAACCACACCCCCCCATATACAGTAACCCTGCTGTGACGGTAGTATAGGGTATCACCGTCAAGCATTCCCTTCTTCCCATAAAAGAAAAACACCCAATATTCTGGGCCAGGCTAGATAATTGAGTTTCTACAATACACAAAGCTCAATTATCTGCTGGCCAGAAACATTACAATTTTTAACAATTTCAGAAACATACTTTTTACAAGACATACAAATATACTTTTAACATCCCTGGGTAGCTGAGGATACTGGTAGTCACATATCCAAATCTCACGAATTTCCGTGTCGCATCGTGTGGAAGTTTGACCGGCTTGCCATGTGGAGGTATCCGAGTTAGAGTTCCATAGAATCAGTAGCAAGAGCCGGTCTCCATTCGCATCTAACTACACGAAAACCACCGTTCGTATGGTTCAGCTGGTTACCTGTGAATGTTCCCCTCATTCGGTAGATGCTATCTACCGAACGCCAGTTTGATTCGTGGAGGGGACCGGGCGTTCGCATGTTTCCCGTACCGAAAACAGTTCCATGCAATTCATACGTAAGCCCCGCTAACCGCATTCGTGAGTTTTAAGATGGCCGCCATTCTTTGTTCTCGCCACGTGTTCGTATGTCGAATGGCGGCCACCTAGTAGCTATTAAGTTGCAGTTTCTCTGTGTTCTAATTGCTACTTGCTACCCAGGGTGTGTGGTCCCCTTTCGGTAAACGAATACATTTATTCTCAACATTTTGAACCGAACAAATACAGACATTAAAACAGCAGGGAGAGGGTTAAGCTGAAAGCATATAGGCAAATACATAAAAGTCCTAAACACCTGCACCCCCCCCACATATACAGTAACCCTGGACCCCCCATATGCAGTAACCCTGCACCCCCCATATACAGTAACCCTGCACCCCCCATATATAGAAACCCTGCACCCCCTCATATACAGAAACCCTGCACCCCCCCATATACAGTAACCCTGCACATCCCCCTGTAACGGACCGTTTTGCCCACAAGAGGTTAAAAACAGTTTAGGCGATATTCCCCTTTTTCAGCTGCACAGACAGCTACTGCAAGCACCAATCTCCCGAACTGCAAACCCACGAATTCACCAATTCCCGAACTGCAACCAAGGGAATACTCGAAACTCCCGAACTGCATACCAAGTAGCACTCCAAACTCCCGAACTGAAGACACACGAATAGCTGCTAGCAGACGAACAGGAAAAGCCCCCAAGCGGCTTGCACTCCTGGCAATCAGTCTCTAACAGCATACAGTAAATCCTCCACCAATAATGAGATGACACTTCACATTGAGGGTTAAGCAGGAACTGATTTACTGGGGCTAACTGCCCGGCTTTTATGCAGGTCTCCCACCTGGTGGACAGTCAGTGGTGTATCCTGGTTTTGTGCTGCCCTAGGCAGGACAAAACTCAGGCGCCCCCCTCCCCCCGGCGCCACCCCCACCCAACCCTTCCCCCCGCCCCACCTTCTAAATACACACACACACAGTTAGACACAAACACACACACACACAGTCAGACACATACACAAACACACACACACACAGTCAGACACAAACACACACACAGTCAGACACATACACAAACACACACACAGTCAGACACATACACCGTCAGACACAAACACACACACACACACACAGTCAGACACACACACACACACATACACAGTCAGACACAAACACACACACACAGTCAGACACAAACACAGTCACATACACACACACAGTCAGACACATACACAGACACAAACACAGTCAGACACAAACACACACACACAGTCAGACACATACACAGACACAAACACACACTCACAAACACACACAGTCAGACACAAACACACACACAGTCAGACACAAACACACACACACATTAACTTTTTTTTAATTTAAATTCTTTCCCCAACCTCCTTACCTTTGGGAGTGCTGGGGGGGGGTCTCTCTCCCTGGTGGTCCAGTGGCTGCAGGGCGGGCGGCGCTGGCAGGTGGGCGGCCGGCGAGGGAGCACTTCCCATGAGCTGACTGCTCAGC